CCTGATTGTATCTGTAAGTATACACTTTGCATTGTTCTCATACTTTTTCTATTAAAAAAATAAAAATAAACAATTATTTATTTTTTTAGTTTGCAGGTTGCCTACATACAGGGGCTTAGCATCACGAATTGTCTAACCTTTCAGGCGGCTCACTAGACTATGCTGGAAGATACGTGCGTTAGGGTCGCTTGCCGACCTCAGCCTATTGGCGGAAAATAAGAAAGTAAATACTTTCGGTATGGCAAGCACCTAACTGGCATCGCGAAGCCCTCGTTTTGTCATATAAGAGAGTAACATACTTTAGGAGCTTTAGGAGTGGTCCACATATTACTCATAGACACTACTTACATTGTTTTGTGTTTCTGGATTCATTTGCTCCGATCTTTGTGTGTTCATTCCCAATCTGCATAATCTATTTGTCATTCCTCACAGGTGTGTGACTTTTGTGACCCCTCCGAGCCGGAGAAGAGACACCCGGCTGAGTACGCCGTCGACGGGGCAGAAACATGGTGGCAGAGTCCGCCTCTGTCCAGAGGCATGAAGTACAACGAAGTTACACTCACCATCGATCTTGGGCAGGTGAGTTCAACCACGATGGTTCAACGGACCTTCCTTACCTGTCGGTGTTCAAAAAACGGCGGCACACGTCCGGTCCGGCTTGGATCCATGCTCTGGCGGCAACCCCCCGAACCCTTCATGTAAACACCCCGCCCCCCACCCACTCCTACTAACATCTGCAACGTCTGCTGGCCGGCAACCAGGTTGATAAAAACAAACAAATAGGCGATCGTTCATTTATGTCCGTAATTGTGTTTTCGTCATTTTGCACTCCAGTTTTGGCCTCTCCAGCTTGGCGGCATATGGAGGTCCTGACATTCGGCTGATGATTTAAAAACCTTAGTTCGTGGTATCAAGTGCATTCCTCTAAACAAGCTTGGTCTAAACCTATCTTTGTTGTTTCAGACATTTCATGTTGCGTACGTTTTTATCAAAATGGCTAATTCTCCTCGCCCTGCAATTTGGGTTCTTGAACGTTCCACTGACAACGGCAAGACTTACAAACCATGGCAGTACTTTGCTGACTCCCCCAGGTAAATATATTCAATGAGCTTTGTTTGTTCTGCTTTGATTGCTTATTGGATGAATGGGTTCCTTACTCTAATCAATCTTTTTTAACAGTGAATGTGAACAATGGTTTGGCCCAGAAACATTACTGCCCATCACTAGAGATGATCAAGTATACTGTGAGATTGAATACTCAAAGATTGTGCCTCTTGAGGGTGGAGAGGTGAGCTCACATAGAAAAGAACCATTATTGTCATTCTTACAAAACTTCTTAATTTGCTTGTAATTTTTCACTTATTTGACAGATAGTTGTTTCTTTTCTGAACAAACGTCCATCAGCAAACGACTTTTTCAATTCTACCATTCTGCAAGAATTTACTCGAGCAACAAATATTCGATTGAGATTTTTAAGAACAAAGAACTTGCTGGGACATCTAATGTCTGTTGCAAGACAAGATCCGACAGTGACTCGCAGAGTATGTTTTACTCCAGTATAATACTTGTATCATTAGTTCTGCTTTGAAATGAAGACTATCCCTTTTCTTTTTTAGTATTTCTATTCAATTAAAGACATCAGTATTGGAGGACGCTGTGTGTGTAATGGACATGCCGAGAATTGTGCTAATCCTGATCCAAATGATCAGTACAAACTACTGTGCAGCTGTAAACATAACACTTGTGGTACTAATTGTGAAATGTGCTGTCCTGGATTTGAACAAAAGCGTTGGCGGCAATCCAAACGCTATGAACTGTTTCAGTGTGAACGTATGTGAAATCATATGTTTTATGTCCTCTATAAGATCTTTTTTGCCTTGAAGTTATATGTTCAGTTTATATTTTTACCCCTTCTTCTCAGCTTGCAACTGTCATGGACATTCAGACAAATGTATTTATGATGAGGAGGTAGATGAGAAAAAACTTTCAATTGATATCCATGGGAATTATGAAGGAGGAGGAGTTTGTCAAAGTTGTAGGCATAACACAGAGGGTGTAAACTGTAACCGGTGCAAAGCCAAGTATTATCGTCCGTATGGTAAACCATTGAATGCAACAGATGTTTGTCAACGTAAGTGGATCCATTGCCTAATTTTTGGTAAATGTTGAGGGCCTTTTCTTCTAATTAAGTTGTTTTTTTTTTTTTTTTTTTTATTCCCCTGCCAGCTTGTCAATGTGACGACCCTCGTTTCACTGGGAACTGTGCTGAGGGCTCTGGACAATGTGAATGTAAACAAAACTTTACTGCACCTTACTGTGACAGCTGTAACTTTGGATATTATGGCTATCCAGAGTGCAAACAGTGCGAATGTTTTATTAATGGAACCAGAGGAAACATGTGTGAGGCTGTTGGAGGGCAATGCCAATGTAAACAAGCATATGGGGGTAGATTCTGTAGAGAATGTGCTCAAGAATATTTTGGCTATCCCAACTGTACTGGTATGTTTTTACAAGTTTCTAACCATTTCTATATTCAAATATGGGTGTTATTTGCCTAAGGCACATTAAACAAAATCACTCACAGTCCTCTAACTTTTAGCTTGCGATTGTAATCGCATTGGATCTCAATCAAGTGTTTGCCAAACTGAAACTGGAAAATGTCCTTGCCGGAGCAATTTTGGTGGGCGACAATGTGATCAATGTGCTGATGGATACCACACTTACCCTGATTGTATCTGTAAGTATACACTTTGCATTGTTCTCATACTTTTTCTATTAAAAAAATAAAAATAAACAATTATTTATTTTTTTAGTTTGCAAATGTGACACTAGTGGAACATTACCTGAAGTCTGTGACAAAGGGAATGGAAAGTGCCTGTGTAAAGAAGGTTACGATGGAGAAAGGTGTGATCGCTGTAAGCCTGGATATCATGGCTACCCGAACTGTCGTCCTTGTAATTGCAGTGAAGTAGGAAGCTCTTCCTCCATTTGTGATGCCAGTGGAAAGTGTCCTTGTCTTGCAAACTTTGCTGGACGCTCATGTGATCAGTGTCGATCTGGATTCTACAGATTCCCTGAATGTTTAGGTATGTTTGTCAAAACATGTAGATGGTTTTAAAATCATTTTTAATTGCACAAAGAAACTTAATCCTTTTTTTTTATCCCACAGCCTGTTTCTGTGACTCACATGGTTCTGTTGGTGTTAGCTGTGATGCAAATGGGCATTGTCAGTGTAAGGAAAATTTTGAGGGGGCTCGCTGTGATCAGTGCAAAGAAGGACTCTACAATTTCCCAATTTGTGAAGGTATGAAGTAATCTTAACTTTCAAATCATTATATCTGACAGTTATTTGTTCATTCAAAATCAGTTAACGCAGGGAAATTCTAATCTCCATTTTTCCATATTTTCAGAGTGCAATTGCAATCCATATGGTACAATATCCACTTTTGGCGGCTGCGGTACCCTACCAGCAGGGGAATTGTGCAAGTGTAAATCTAGAGTAGAGGGTCGTGTGTGTAATGAGTGCAAGCCTACATATTGGAATTTACAACCTTATCATCGTGACGGATGTGAAGGTAATGTTAATGAAATTTACTTTCTAGCCATCATATAAATTTAATTTTATCATGATGTACTGAACCATTTTTTATGTGCAGAATGTGATTGTCACATTCCTGGTGTGATGGGTGGAATCAATGTGTGCAACACTCAGTCTGGGCAGTGCCTTTGTAAACCCTCTGTAGGATCTCGACGTTGTGAAGCATGCAAAGATGGATCTTATAATCTCTCAGATGACAACTTGTTTGGATGCACTGGTAATTTAAAATAATATTTTTAAGCATGTTTATTTTGAATCTATCTTTTTTATATATGTTAAAATTAATCTAAAATTATGTTTGATTTTCTCTCTATTAGATTGTGGTTGTGATATTGGAGGATCTGTGGATGGTATTTGTAACAAGTCCACTGGGCAGTGTATATGCCACCCAAGAATACAGGGTCGTACCTGTAATGAGCCGATTCTACATCATTACTTTCCGACCTTGCACCATTTGCAATACGAAGCAGAAGATGGCTTGACGCCTCAAGGGGAAAGAGTGCGCTATAGATGGGATGAAAATGAATTTGCTAACTACTCATGGAAAGGATATGCATTCTTTACAGTGCCTCAAGTATGTTTTGGTTTACTTTGTGTCTATGAATATAGTTCATGAATACCCTTATTTTCATTGCTTTAAAAATCTTCTTATGTATACAAGTAAATTTCAATTTCTTCCTCTCAGAATGAAATTAACTATAATGTGAAAATTGAAAAGCCCTCACTGTATCGAATGGTGCTCCGTTACATAAATCCAGGAACTGAGGCAGAAGTAGCTCACATAGCGATTATTCCTGAGAGTCAAATTGAACCACAGCAGTCTTTCCAAGTTCTCCTGATGCCTACCAATGGTACACCTGCTTTCACAACAGTGGCTGATAAGACTAACAAAATTCCATCTCCACTTGTTATGGATCCTGGAAACTGGATAATTAATATTAAGTACAGTGGTGCTCGACCTCTTTTATTGGTAAGGTTTTTTTTTGTTGTTGATTGGTTTTTATATTTAAAAAAAAATTGTTTCCTTATATCCTTATATGACTAACCATTTTGTATAACAAACATTACAGGATTACTTCTCTCTGCTACCAGCTTCTTACTATGAGGCAGGAATTCTTGTGAAGACAGTTTCTGAACCTTGCACAATTGGCAATCAAACTGTGTGCCAACAGTATCATTATCCTAAAATGGGCGGGTGTGACATAGTACGAGGTGAAACAGCACTTATTGATGATCAGGGAAACAGACAACCGATACGAGAAATATATGAAAATGATCAGGTTTGTTTTTGACATTTGGGTCGCTAAGGCATTTTCTTGTCAAATGTACATTGTATTTCTTTTGGTTTACAGCATGTTCAAGCTGTTGGCCTTAACAGTAAACCAGCTATGCTTTCTCCAACTCAACCCGAGCTACACTTTGACCTTACAATATCGGAACCTGGGAAACATATACTTGTCATAAGTTATGTGACTCCTCCTGACGCAAATACAAGCACAAATGTTGTTCTGATGGTTGATGATGAACAAGCACCTCAGTTAGGAAGGGCAGTCCTACATCCCTGCTCATTCACAGCAGCTTGTAGGCAAGCTGTCATTGATGATCGCAGAGTAGTTTCTCCCTTCCGGCTTGATAAAAACTATGTGAAACTTACATTAAAGGTATGTGTAGATATTAATTCATTCCAAGTTTTTGTAGACATTATTTTAAAATATTATACACATTCTTTAATTAGTCATTATCAATTTAAGGCTGAAGGACCAGCGAATGCTGCTATTGACTGTGTTGTTGCTGTGCCACTTGAAGACTGGTCGTTAGATTACATTCAACCTAAACCACTGTGTGTTAGGAAAGATGGACAGTGTGTTGGGGCTAACTTCCCAACCCCTCCAGATTCTAAAAGGGTTCGTTGATAGTTAAATGTTCTTGTCCTTTACAATACAATTTTTCTGTATGTCTTAAACTAATAATTGCCTGGCATTTGTAGATTGAACCAGAAAGTGATAATGATGTATCCACAGTGAAACCACCAATGATATCTGACAACACTAGCACATTGATTTACCTTGACTATAACAATCCTACAGTGGATGCTGAAGGCAAAGTTCCAGGCCCTGGGCAATATGTGTTTGTTGTTCACTATTATCAACCAGATCATCCAGGTAAGCTCATTTGTACACTTTGTATATTGTGTCATTTTTGTAATTTTATTGATACAGAAAATGTCCAAAGATGACAAGTAGTTTGTTGAATTCAACTTTTAAAATAATGTGTACATTTTTATTTATTTTTTGCTAGGTTTTGCTCTTGATACAGTTATACAAAATGAAAATATTGTCCAAAATGGTCAGTATCATGAAGGAAAACTGCCAATTCGTCACTGTCCCTCAAATTCTGGATGTCGCTCAGTGATTCAGCAATCAAATGGCAGCAATCGAACCTTGCTATCGGATTCTTTCATTGTTACTTTAAAACAACAACCAACACGGTTTGGAGTGTGGATTGACTATATCTTAGTCATTCCTGCAGAACAATTTACTCCCAGTATTCTTGAACAGGATGACTTGGACCAAACTGGAGTTTTTCTAAATCAATGTGGACAGAATCATTTCTACATAGATCCAAAAACTAAAGGATTTTGTAGAGAAGCTGTGTTTTCTCTGACTTCAGCCTACAACAGTGGGGCTCTGAAATGCAACTGTGATTATCTTGGCTCAACTGATTTTGAGTGTGCAAAGTTTGGGGGCCAGTGCCCTTGCAAAGCCAATGTTATTGGTCGACGGTGTACAGAATGTAGAAATGGTTACTATGGGTTCCCTGATTGCAAGCCCTGTGACTGCCCAGCAACTGCTATCTGTGAAGAGAAAACCGGTAAAGTTCAAATGATTTCTCAAACAAATAACAAGTGTTACAGTAATAGATAAATGACGGTGAAATGATTGATCTTTTTCTAGGTAAATGTGAGTGTGCTCCAAAAATAAGAGGTGAAAAATGTGATCAATGCGAGGAAAATACTTTTGCATTGGATCCCTACTTTGGCTGTGAAGACTGTAATTGCTCTCCTCAGGGCGTTGTTGATAACAATCTCCAATGTGATTTAAATAATGGAAGCTGTTCGTAAGTTTATTGAAATTTTTAATTGGAGTGTGCCCATCCTGTTTTAATTTATAATCTTATTTTTGACTCTTAATTGTAGATGCAAGCCAAATATAGTAGGACGACATTGCGATAAATGTTTGGAGGGGTATTGGCTATTTCCTCAATGTCAAATTTGTGACTGTGATCTTCGAGGTTGCAGAGAAGAAATATGTGATCAGGTATTATTTTTGTTTTCTTATCCTAGCCTACATGTGTTATTTTATTCTCTTTACTAAAATTTAATTGTGTTCTTTCAGGTTACTGCACAGTGCTACTGCAAAAGTAATGTTAACGGTGAAGCATGTGATGTATGTGTTGATGGAACTTTTGACATTCAAGCAAGCAATGTTCTGGGTTGTACAAAGTGTTTCTGTTTTGGAAAAACTACTCGGTGTGATAGTGCTACACTTTTCCGTGCTGAGGTAATATTATTATTTTTTATTGAAATAATTTTATCTTATTTTATTTTATTTATTAATCTTTATCATGTCTCTATTTGTCTTTTATAGATTCAAAGCATGGAAAATTGGGTATTGTCTACAATTACTTATCAACCAACTGTCATTGTCACACCAATGAGTTTTCGACCAGAACATGGGGATGGTGGTGTAGTTGCTGACTTGACTGATGCTGAAGCTGTTGATAAAGTAGTCTTTTTCAAGGCCCCTCAAATTTTTTATGGCAATATGCTGACAGCATATGGTGGAAATCTCAACTACACACTATTCTACACAACAGGACCTTTTGGTACATTGCTGCTTAGACCTTTTCAGTCATTCATTATGTGTTATTGCCACTTTTCTCCCTAGTCTTTGATGATTAACTTAACTTTATTATCCCAAAAGGTGGAGCTATTGGAGCACCTGACATAATTTTACATGGATCAGCAACCAACCAGTATCTTCTTCACTTTAGTTTGGAACAACCTGCATCTTCTTTAAAATATAATGGCAGTGTGCAAATAATTGAAAGCAATTTTGTCTTAAGCAATGGATTGCCTGTGTCTCGGGAGACACTTATGCAAACCCTACAGACTTTAGATGAAATTTATATTCGAGCTACTTACATGCAGCAGAGTGTTACATCACGGTATTCATTTTCTTTTTTTTCTTTTTTCTAAAGTGTTTGCAATGAAAGAATTTGTATTGAAAGATATTTGATTTCCTACTTTGTAGCCTCTTGAATGTAAGCTTGGATACTGCCCAAGAGCAACACAATACAAATGGTATTGCCCATGCTGTGGAGGAGTGTATTTGTCCTCCTGGTTACAAGGGACTTTCTTGTGAAGACTGTGCTTCAGGTTATTATAGGTCTCAGACTGGACCTTATGGAGGCTATTGTGTTCCCTGCCAGTGCAATGGACATTCTGATGTTTGTGACCCAGTTACTGGAATTTGCATGGTAAGTTTGGTCCCACAACCATCTTAAGTTCTAGACCATGTATCTTAATGTCTTGAATGAATTTTGTCATGAGTTTCTCAAAATGTTATAGGAATGTCAACATTTCACGACTGGTGATCACTGTGAGGAGTGTGAATCTGGCTATCATGGTGATGCCAGTGTAGGTACACCTCATGACTGTCTGATATGCGCATGTCCTTTGCCATACCCATCAAATAAGTAAGTCTAAGTAGAACAACTTGTAATGGCTCATAGTAAGACGTGTTGTTTTAGTTTGCCCTCTCTTAATGTACATTTTGGTTTTGAATTAGCTTTGCTAGTAGCTGCTATGTTAGCCCTGATGGGGACAGTATCAGCTGTGATTGTAAGGAAGGATACTTTGGAGCTCAATGCCAGTCATGTGCAGCAGGTTATTATGGAAAACCGAGAGTCCAAGGTATGTGAATTGCTTCTTTCTCCCCCCTAGATTTTTAAGACATGAAACTGCTGATTTCTTAATCAATTCTATTCATGTTTGTTTTTGTTTTTTTGTTTCTTCACCAGGTGATTACTGTAAACCATGTGTATGCAATAACAACATTGACCCATCCAATGCAAATTCATGTGACTCAGTGAGTGGAGAATGCATGACTTGTCTTAACAATACCTTTGGAGAAAGTTGTCAGTACTGTGCACCAGGGTTTTATGGAGATGCTATAATTCGCAAAGATTGTCAGAGTAAGTAAACCCTATCTTATTACTGCAAACATTTATTCAAATTAGTTTATAATAATTACACTGTATTTTAACGCCTTATTTTCAGGTTGTATTTGTGATGCATGTGGTACAGCACAGTGTAACAACTATACTGGTATATGTGAGTGTAAACCAAATGTAGCTGGAGAAAAATGTGACACATGTGCCCCTGACCACTATGGTTTCAACAACTGTAAGGTAAAAGTGTTCTTTTTTCATTTAAAAAAAAGATGTTATTTTTAGTTTTGTGTTTGGAGTCATTTATTGAAGTTTCTATCTTATACAGGGCTGCTCACCATGTGATTGTGGTTTGGCATCTGATAGCACACAATGTGATGATGTGACTGGACAATGTCGGTGCAAACCGGGGGTCACTGGGAGGACCTGTGATAAATGCAAGCCTGGATACTGGAACTATGGTCCTGAAGGATGTGTCTGTACGTCATTTGATAACTCCTTATGCGTAGTAAATTGTTTATCTCAATATTTTTCAATAAACATTCATTTTTAATCTTGCAGCTTGCGGCTGTAACCAAGAATATTCTGTTGGTTTTGGTTGCAACGCAGCAACAGGCCAGTGTGAATGTTTACCTGGTGTGATTGGAGAGAAGTGTGACCACTGTCCCTACCGATGGGTATTAAAAGATGATGAAGGCTGTTTTGAATGTGATGCATGTACACATGGACTTCTAAATGTTACTGATGAACTAGCAGCAACAATTGATCCACAAAGAGCTGACTTTGAGGTAAATGCCAACTTTTTCACCTTTGCATTAGTAACTACAAAATCTGTTGTCTAATCTTTACTCTTTATTCAATACTCTTATAAAGTCAGCCGCTGCCAGCCATTTCACCCAGAAGCGTCTTGAATACATCAATGACACAGCGTTGGACATGGCTCCAACAGTCAAGAACCTTACACGTGTTGATTTTGTACCAATAGCAAAAGCAGTGCAAGACCTCACTAGAGATACTGAACAACACAGTCGTAACGTAAGTTCAATCCTACCTTTCCCCTTTCTTATCATACAATGAAATTGTGCAGTTATTTATTGCTTGTTTTACATTTCTACTTTCTTCTATCATAGGGTGCTTACAAACTTGAAACTGCAGAGCAGACAGCTCCAACTGGTGCTGCAGTTCACCAAGCTTTACTCAATCTAGAGAAATCTATGGTTGTTGCCTCAGACAATGCAGAAGCCACCGTGCAAGAAATCAACAATATTACTTTTAGTTTAGAAGCTGGATCAGGTATGATTGAAGAGTTTTGTTTTTATAAGTAATACTTTGGTATGATGTGCTGATAATAGTAAGAGATTATGTTAAGAAAAATATTATTATCTTTCATTTTTCTTAAGGTCCCCAAACTGAGTATTCAATTCGTCTTGGTGAAAAACTGTTGAAAGAAATGGAGGAACAAGATTTCTCTGATCCTGAGAAGGAAGCAGATCGAGTTTTGGAAAAGGCGGAACAAATAAAGGAAAATATGGCCAAATTTGCAGAACCAGTTACCAACCACTCCCACCTTTTACTTGAGTTACAGAAGCAATTGAATGAATTTAATGACAAATTAGAAAATCTTAGGAATAATTCAGACTCAACAGTGAAGCTGACAACTGAAACAAAAATTATCAATGAAAAGAACAAGTTAGTACAAGATATGCACATGAGTTTGTTTCATCTGTCACTTTTCTTAATCAACAAGTATTTTTATTAACCTTATTTCTTTTGAATTTGAAAGGAATGCTCAGGTGAAGAATAAAGTTAATGCAGTGAATCAATTGGCTGAATCTGCCCAAAATATTCTAAATGATGCAAAGGAATTACTTACCAAAACTGCCAAATTGATAATTGATGCAAAAAAAGATTTCTCTGATATTGGTAAATAATGAATGTGTTTCTAAAACAACACACCAGTTTAAGATGGTGATTTAACATGTCACAATTTGTGTACTCTTTTCAGAACTTGCAGCTACACGAGTAGTGGAGATCAAAAATAGTTTAAATGATTCCATTAATGAACAAAAGGTGAAACTAAGTGAGTTAGAAGATGTGTATGAAGGAGCAGATGTACATGCAGCTGTCCTAGCAAACAGGGTAAGTGTTTGGATAAAATATAAATTTTTAAAGACCTTTTTGAAGTGAAATACCTTGCTGATCTACCTACTTGGATTTCTGGCATAAGGTTATAAGGTTTTCAATTAATGCTTACATGTAACATGGTGTTGTCAGGCTGCAGAACTGGAAAAACAACTTTCGCCAACTCGAGATCAATCACAGTTTGCCCTTACTGCTGCCAATGCATATCTTGATATTGTGAATGCTCTTCAGGAAGCTCTGAAAACAGCTGAAGAAGCTTCTGAAGCAGCACAAAATGCATCAGATATGGTAAGAATAAAGATTGATTCCTGGATCCCTGGAATACATTATCCCAAATCAATATTTGTCTAAGCCCCTTTCTCTCTACTAATTAGTTGACAGGACTTGGTGATAAGACGTCTGTTTCACAAAAACGTTCAATGGAACTTCTTCAAAATGCTCATAGCAGACTAGAGGAAGCCCAAGTTACTTTGTCACCTAAACTAAAGATGGCAATAAGTAATGTGATGTTTGTACAAGATTTGACAAGCTCTGGACAGAAGGGCATTGATGATATTGAGAAGTAAGATTTAGAATTAATTCTTTCACTTGGTTGAAATTAGAAACAGCTGAATCATGTCATTCTTACAACTTACTTTATATCAGGATCCTAACAAAGATGCCAACTCTATCATTAATTGATCCTGTGAACAAGGCTGGCGAAGAATCGGCAAGAGCTCAGGAATCAGTCCAGGATGCTGTATCAGGTATCAGTGATATTCTGACAACGCTTCCTGATCAATCTAAAATGGCCAAACAAGTTCCAAAGGATGTTGATGATTCTCGTGAGGCAATAAGTCAGGCAGACAACCAGCGTGAGTTCTTTTTTCTCTATAGAATGGAATATTTTTTTGTCATATTTATTCCTACTGATTCTGACTTTTTCTTCCTGGCTAATGTAATGAAATCTATGAGCAGTAAGAAGCCTACGTATGGTGAAGACTTTCAATGATGCCATTGACGATGTTAAAAGTAGACAAGAAGCTTTCAATGCAAGTGCTGTTGGAGCAAGAAGCTCGATTGAGGAACTGAAACAAAAAGTAGCTGAAGCACGGGAAAATGTTAACAGGCATGTAAAATTTTACATTCCACGAATATTGAACTATCAGTTTTCAAAACTATCATCCTTGGGCTAAAAACTTTTTTCAATATTTCTTAGGATTAGAGTGGGTGTACGATTCCATCGAGACACAACACTACAGTTGCGAAATCCTGAAAGTCTATCTCAACAAACAACATCTTCCCGAATATCAGTGTATTTCAGAACAAGTCAACCGAATGGTTTAATATTATACCTTGGCAATGAGAAAGATTCTAGTAGAAAAGTAAGGAGTCTGAAATCGAGAAGGACAAAAACTGTAAGTATTTGATGTTTTAGACTTTCTTTGTCAGTATCTAAAACCAAGTGATCTTGATTTATTGTATTTTTGTATTTGTTTTGTCTTTCAAGGATGACTACATTGCATTGGTTGTTGAAAATAGCTACCCTGTGCTTACCGTTGATCTTGGATCAGGACCTACTCGTATTATTGTCACCAAGATTGTTGATGATGGAGTGTGGTATCAAGCTATCATTGAAAGGTTTGTCCTGAAATAGTTTAGTTATTGATTACAAGATATATAGCATCATATTGTTCACTTATTAATACTTATATTTCAGAATTGGAAAGAGTGCTCGTCTAACTATCCGAGAGGAAGGAATTAATAAAGAGGATGTGTTGTATTACAAAGAAGACATTATCAGTGGAACCAACTCAATCCTAAATCTAGATCCTGAGAATTCCAAGCTTTTTGTGGGAGGCTTCCTTAATTTCAGAATACAAGATGACATCATAGCATCCTCATTTGATGGTGAAATGGAAGAACTTGTAATTGGTGATACTCCTGTTTCTCTGTGGAGCTTTGTCAGTGGATCTCTCAATCGAAATTTAACTGGGGCCTATGAAAGGTAAAAATAATTAGCTATACCAGTTCAAGGCATTACATCTCGCTACATAGAAGAATTACAGTTATTTATTAATTTAGCTGGCCTCAAGAAATTTTAATCATGTTTAATCTTTCAGAAATAAGCTGGTCAGTAGTCTCACATCAAACGCTGGCTACCGTTTCAATGGGTCTGGCTATGTAGTTTTAGATGGAAAACCATACCTCCAAAAGGAACGATCTGCAGTTCAATTTAGGTTCAAAACAAAGATGCGCAATGGACTATTATTCCTTATTGGAAATGAAAAACAATTCTTCTCTGTCGAATTACGCGATGGTCGTATTCTCTATCAGGTACAAAGCTTTCTTAGGCCTATTTTAAAACTTTTAACTTTGGAGTGCAACTTATATCCAAACTCATTCTCTTGATTTTTCAATTTTCCAGTTTGATCTAGGAGATGGTCCAGTGAGAATGCTATCACCTGAAGGTGTAAAATATAATGATGACGAATGGCATCTTGTGGAAGCAGCACGAGACCGTAAAGTTGGTCTTCTGAAGATTCATGGGGAAGAATCAGCTAGGGTAATACATCTAAGCATAATAGCCATTACATGTGCATCAATATCAAAAAGGAATAATTTTAAAATATTTTATATTATCTTTATGTTTTTACTTTTTCAAGGCCAATTCTGGTGGTTTCATTGATGAACTAACACCCACAAATGAAGTCTACTTTGGGGGCTATCCTGATTCACACTCCTACAGAGATGTCACCAACTTAGACTTCGATGGCTGCATAGATAATGTTCAGATTGATAGTGGTACCATCGATCTAAGTAAAAATGTGAAAGCCACTGGAGTGTCACCGGGGTGTCCCCCGAAGGTGAGAATATTGCTTTCAAGTACTACCTGATACTTATTCTTCCCAGTAAACGCAATGTTCACTAATCATTTTTCTGGAATAGTTTGTTGGACAAATTTCGTTTAGTGAGAAAGCCCCAGGATATCTACGATGGTCAAAGGTCGATGCTGCTGATGAAATTCAATTGAACCTTCGATTTAAAACTTCCTCTACTCCTGGACTAATAGCCTACATAACTGATGAGGATCAGACATCTACTCTTTCTCTATCCATGGTGGAGGGTATTCTTGTCTTGCGGTCAAAGAATGCTGAAGTGACAACTCATCCAACTAAATATAATGATGGAGAGTGGCATGTTGTTACTGCTACTTATGACCGCAATGGTCTTCAATTGGATGTTGATGACTTTGAAATGTTCAAGTATGTTTTCTTTAAATCACCAAATTTCTTACAAACATTACCTAAAGGTGTCCTATAATCCCTTGTTTATTTCTGTTTTTGAAGGACACCTAACACAGGCTCTCCTCTACAAATTCAGGATGGCAATCTTTTCTTTGGTGGCATACCAAAAGACTACATTTTGTCACCAGGAGCTAGTGCCTCAGCTAACTCTTTTGTTGGTTGTCTTGCTGATGCTACAGTTGGACGAACTCTAATCAACTTTGCAAATGTTACGGATAGGCGTAATGTGAGTCTCAACAAGTGTCCTATTGGATCAGACCCAGTTGATTACCCTGCTCCTTCCCGTAAGTATCCTTTTAGACTCGTAATTTACATAGATTAGAATAATGGTTGTATCTCAAATATTTTTTTAAATCCTTAACTTTGCTATTTTTAGCTGAAGAAGATGTAATCACCAGAGAGGGGGATGATCAAGGTAACTCATTGTTTCTCATAAATATGTCATATTTTTATTTAGTAATAATAAGTTTTAATCAGCTGCTTTAATCACGCTAGATGGTGATGATGATAATATCCCAGTGACTACTTCAACTGCACCGACACCCATCACCCCACCAACTCCAGCCCCAACACCAGCAGGACAGTGTGTTCTCCCATTCAGTCCTGCAAATGATCCAGATGTGAGGGAGGACAGTGGCGTTCGTTTTGGTAAGACTTATAAACTTGACAAAAACTAATCAAATTACAGGTAACCATATACTCTTACAATATTTTACGTCTTACAGGAAGTAAACCATACAGTCGATATGAGTTTTCAGCTCTGCCCAAGCCACTTAAACAAAAGTATGAACTCTCATTTGATTTCAAAACAGAAAAGCCTAACGGCACAATATTCTTTGTCACTGACAAGAATATTGTTGATCACATTGCTCTTTATCTGGTTAATGGCAAGGTAGGACTAGTCTAACATTATACATTTATTTTTATATTATTACCTTTTAATCTTTTTCATGCTGTCATACTTTGTCGATCTCACTCTCAGGTGCACTACAGCTTTAACTGTGGTTCTGGAGCTGCCTTGCTTGTTAGTAAGGATGCCTATAATGACAATGAATGGCATACTGTCTTGTTTGCTCGCCATGGAGTAAATGGCACTCTGTCAATTGATGAAGTTATTGTTGCCACTGGATCTTCTGTAGGCCTCACAAAGACATTAAATGTTGAACCTCCTTTCCTTTTGGGAAGCTTATCAGAATCTTTACCTGCACTTCTGAAAGATCATAACTCACTTAGTGTTCTAAATGTAAGCTATCTTATTTAGACATCTATTTTTTAAATATATTTTTTAAAATAGTTTGCAAGTCAACTCAATATTTGAATAATTTTTCAATTTCTGTTTTTTTTTCTTTTAATTTTCAGGTCATTCCTGGGTTTGTAGGCTGTTTACGTTACTTTAAAATGAACAAGAAACCTGTTGTTCAGAATCGAACCGTGACTGAAGGAGTCTTGCCATGTTCTGATAAGGTAGAGAAAGGTTTCTTTATCGGACCTGAGGGTGGTTATATCAAAGCTTGTACGTACTGACTTATTATTTACTATCCTATTTAAAAGACAATAATGAACTTTTAATTGAAACTTGTCTCTTTTTGCAGTTGACAAATTTAGGGTAGGTTTTGATATAGATTTGTCTATAGAAGTCAAACCTAGGTACACTTCAGGAATTTTAGTTTCTGTGCATAGTAACAAAGACTATTTGATTTTGCAATTGGTAAATGGAACTGTTAAATTCACTGTTGACAATGGTGAAGGACCAATTACAGTAGAATACAAACCTGTCCAGCCACAAGATGTGTGTAATGGTGATTGGCTAAGAATTCAAGGTGAGTTCATATGTATGCTGTGTCAAGAGAACTAGAATGCATGTCACATAAAGTGTTCAATAATTTTCTTTTACCTTTTATTTTTTGGGTTATTTCGCTTCATTTATAATCTTTTTATTTTCTTTTTTTTATTTTGCAGCTGTCAAGTCAAAGGCGATTCTGACACTCGGAGTCAATGACTTCTTTGTTGAGCCATTTGTTGGAAAACAAGGAAGTGCTGCCACTGACACCCGCCACCCTTTGTTTATTGGTGGCCATCCAAATCCCAAGGGGCTGCCTGGCATTGAGACCACTGAACAATTTGTTGGGTGTGTTCGAAATGTGGCTATTTTAAGAGATAACAAGAATATGATTGTGAGTTTGACTGCTGCAAAAACCAGTGGTAGCGTGATCAGCAATGTATGCCCTACTATTTAAAATATTTTTGCTCAGTTAGAAAATCAAATCAATTCTGAGCAAATTTTTAATTTATTATTGTACTTTCCATAAAATAAATACCTGTCTGGCTTTTCATTTGCTGATGTTGGACAATTCTAAGTAGTACAATATTAGTGTATGGTTTATTTATTTTATTAGCCTTTTTACTTCTTGGTCTATGTTGAGTGTACAATGGCATGAGCAAAATAAGTGATATCAGTAAGTGTAAAGGAGCAGCTTCTTCATCTGGAAATAAATCATCTTCTCAAGCTTTCTAGAAAGAGTGAAAGACCATCCAGAAAATAAAATAAAAATGGGAAGGATGGCAGTGGAGAAACTTGAGAACAATTATGTTCTCTGCTTAAAGTTTTCAAATTCATGTGATAACTTTGTTAATTGTAGGAGCCATCTGCATGTAAACAAGCTTTGAAATAAGGAATGTTTTCTATATGCAACAGAGGATTTCGTAAAGCAATGACTGAACTTTTTATATTTCATTTCAAAGCTTGTGTAGACTAGTGTGGAAGTTCAGTTTTTGTATGTGAGTTTGTATCAGCTGAATGAGAGTTTTGTAAGTATTGTAAAGTGTGTATGTTGGTCAGTGTGTGGAAGATTGTGCCTAAGTGTGTGTGTGTGTGTGTGTGTGTGTGTCTGTGTATGAGTGTGGGGTAATTGTTTAGTGTTGATGTAAGTATCTTTGTGTGTTTATTTCTGTCTGTTAGTGTAAGTTGACTGACAGTTAGATTTCTTAAGATATGATGTGAGAGCACGGTCCTATAGGGTAAAAATTGAATAAAACAACTGTGTAAAGATTTTGCTAGAGCAGACATGTATTTTAATTTTGTTTGTGATTCATTTATCATTTTCATGTACAAAAAAAAGTTAAACTGTATAGGGTACATAAATTATAATAAATTTATGATAAAATATGCCACAGACATTAGAATGATACAGTATTTCTTAATTATACTTTCAATCTAAAGAGTAAAAAACTTTGCAGGTGATATATATGACAGAGGTGTTTCAAGAAATCATTGCACAGTAACCACTTTTAACCACAGTTGTCTGCCTGAATCTGTAAATAAATGTACAGTAGAAATTATGAGCTCTGTTAATTTACGCCCAATTTGATTAAATAAATGATTGATTGTTACATAAGTATTTTATACATGTTTTATACATGACACAGCACAAACTTGGTCATTACATTTTAAAAGTTATAATTTTTAGACTCAAAACTTTAGTATTAAAGGAATTACATCACAATTAAGACATTCACACTCAAATGCAATAAATGTGATTGAATTACATTTTCAACAGCAACAGTTACTGATTGAAGTGAAAAATTATATCATTTGCATCAATTTTGGAAATTCCTGCAATTTCTGAGAAAAATTCTACTTTTATCATGTTACTCATGATTAAGTCAATCAATCGAAATCTCTCTTTTTCAGATGTCACTGGTACCGTATCATCTATGTTGTTTGTACCATTTGATTTGACTGAATGTGATTTCTTTTCCGGGGAGGTACTTTTTTGTTCATGTTTGCAATCACAGCCTGTTCCAAAAACTTTCAATTCTACAATGGATTTTTTCTTCAATTTAACTGCAGAATTTGTACATTTAAGTCCTGATATTCCTCCAAAGTCTATAATTTTCAGTGAGTGAACATTCATCTCCAATAGAACCAGATGTCTTTTGGCAACTATATTAGTGTTCCTCACACATATTTTTTCAAGCGAGGGTGAGTACTTTGCTACAATAGCAATATTCCTTTCATCAAGCAAATTTCCATCAATTCTAAATACTCTTAGCCGAGCAAATGATTGGCCAATTTCATAAAAGCTCATTCCCATATGGTTAAACTGGATAAGATTGATCTCCTCTAAATTTGTAGTTATGTGTGAATAATTTATTACCTTGCAAATTCCTTCCTCCCAATCAAATTGGAACCGTCCTGTCAAATGCAGTGCAGTGATATTGATCATTTCATGTAGAAAATAGTCTATCTGTGCTGCATTAATTGCCAGTTCTTCCAAATGCTCTTGACTTTCATTCACACATTCTCTCACTCCTGGATTTCGAGCACATGTTTCTGACAGCTTAATAGACTTTAAATGATTTTTGTTTTTTATTAAAAGAGCCTGCACAAAGCCAGTTTTTCTGCTTGATATAAACCGATGTCTAAATTCTTGAAATTCTTTTAAATCTAAAGTTTCTATCATCCCACAACCTGGCTGCTCCAACAATTCTCCAAAATACCACTGTGTACTAAATCCTCCACATAATCGCAAATTTTTCAAATTTGTCATTTGAGCCATTATGGTAAATATAAGGCCTGGCCTTGGAATTGCATTGGAATGAACAAAAGCGTAACATGTTAAACCATCTTCTCCATAAGAAACTAACTCATCATTAACACACAAAGTAAGTGACTCAATATTTAGACTGAATTTTGACAGAATTTCTAATACTTTACTTGGGTCGGTGCGACAACTACCAAGAAAGTCAAGTCTCTTCACATGTGTCACATTTACTGAAAGTAATGCTTGCAGAGCTTTTTCTTCCAGTTCTCTGTGGCCACCTAAGTGCAGGTATTCAATTTGAGTATGAACGTTCTTCAATATGTCAATGAAGACATTTGGATTCCGCCAGCAATAATAAATGAACCTGTTCCTCCAGAGACTTGGTTCCCTCGCTAATTTTCTCCACCTCAAAGACACATTTGCAATGGCTGTCACAAGATCTTTGGGGCCCAAAAGCTGAAATATTGACAACAGTAATTCATCTGGGAGCAACGAGATGATGTCCTCCGCCTGAAATCAAGGAAGAGAAATATCTAGCAGGTGGGATTGGCACAAAGAGAGGCGATGCAAATAGGCATAATGCTACCTGTGAGTCAGAATCTGTATCTCCACCGTCAGGGTGAGTAACAGAGGTCCCCCGAGCTATTTGGATGTCAGGAGACGGAGAAACTTCATTCGCCTCTGTGCTCGACATGATATCCACCTCGACCGTTCAGAGTGCAGGCAGTGCAGCTGGCCTTACCCGGGGGGTGGGGATGCAATTTGCCCGGCGTGGGTCTCGGGGGTGTAGAGTGAGGCAGAGTGCTCGAGGGGGCGTATAGGGGCATGCGGGCATGCGCAGTCGCCACGGAGAAGGGGGGGAGCCTGAGCCTTGAAGAGGGGGTTGGGGGGGGGGGGCAGGGGGCTCCGGCTTATTACACTCGTATCGCCCAAGAAGAACGCCTCAGTCAAAGGGACGAAAAAGTTGTGTCATTTTCACTTTTTCCAGTCTCGACTAGTCTAGACTCCATATTTCGACCTTATTTTTACATATTTTGACATTGTGTTCTCCTACATTCTCCACATCTACCTTTGAAGTGTGAAACGACCATTGGAGCGATTGGAGCGCAATTGGTCTTCCCTGCCTCCTTTTGTTAGCCCCCCCCCCACACACACACTCACTACGAACAAAACAACAGCAACAACAACAACAACAACAACAACACACGGCACTCACCGAACCGGCGGCATTGACTGGTGGTCTACCGCAGTTCGTCGCCGTTTGCAGTTCACTCTCGAACTGCTCCATAACATTTTTGACCTATCCACGAAACAGCTGCATGTGCGCATTGTACGTTTACATATTGTTAAACTTCAACGTCATGCGCGTGTCGAGCGTAAGCGTGAAATGCCTCGCCGCGACCCGAACCTAACCGCACTGGCATGCCTACAGGTACTCACGGTTCTACCGCCTCATATAGTATAGCTGCAGTTGGAGACCAACGATGGATCGTTATCGGTGAGTTTCTTCTTTAAAATTAATTTCATTTTTGTTTGACATCGAAACGAGTAGTTGACATGGTGCAACTCCACAGGCTTTACAACACTTTAATGATGGACGAACTAACAGCGGCAGTGAAAGGGTTGGGAAGGGGGCGGGAGG